CGGCGTTCGGTCGCACACATTTAGTGTTTCGAGCAGCCCTGCTGCATGTTGCGCCGTTCAGTCGTTCATATTGAGTGCTCCGAGAAACCCTGCTGCGTGGTGCACCATTTAGTTGCGCAAATTCAGCGTTTTGAGCACCCTTTCTGCATAGTGCGCCGTTCAGGCGCGCACATTGAGCGTTGCAGCAGCCCTGCTGTTGCATGGTGCGCGGTTTTCTATGTATGCGAGCCAGCCAAAGGAGTCTGTGTTTGTTGCTATGCGAGATGCGTTTGGGTGCACCCGCCGTGAAACATTACCGGGCTACTGTGGCTTCAGACCTTCTCTCTCTGCCTTCAAATGCGGTCACCTAGCCTCCTGCTGTCAGCCTCTTACTGCTACATTGTCATCATCCGTGACAGTAAATATTTGTGGCTTTCACGGCATACTGACAACTTCTTGGACGTTTCTTTTCCTCATTATTGCAGCACGTTTCAATTAGGTGTGTGCGACTTTCACGTCGTGCTGCATCGCGACGTGAACGCTAATCTGCTAGTAAGCGGTGCAGAGAAACACCTAATATTTTGAGATTATAACTTTTGAACATTTTAAAAACTATGAATAATTAACATATTTGTACGTTCTAATTTTTTTATTGTTACCAAGTGAAATTTGAAGGTTTTGGACCTATTAAAATAAATTATGTGACTATACCCCTATGAAAATGGCAAATATCTCTTAATTTCAATCAGGCCAAATTGTTGGTGCTCGTATGGCAGGTGCTAGTGTGACAGAAACTTCTCGAATGATTAATGTTTCAAGAAGTATTATCTCAAAAGTGATTGCTGCTTTTGCAATGTAATGAAAAACGTCCTCAGCAAATTAACGGTCTTGCTGAAAATCGTAGTTGTCTGAGAGAAGCCGTCGGTCTTTAATTGTTTGGAAAAATCGGAAGGTCACGGCTGTAAAAATGATATCAGACCTCAACGGGCAGCTACAGAACCCAGTTTCCATAAAAACTGTTCGTCTGGAGCTGCAAAAATCTGAATTCTATGGAAGAGCTGCAATTATACAAACTCTAGTCTCAAAAACAAATGCTTCAAAGCGTTTAGAATGGTGTAAAAAAAACTCCAAAATTTGTCCTCTTGTGGGAAAATGTGATTTTCAATGAAGAATCATCGTTTACCCTATTTCCGACCTCTGGCCGAGTGTACGTTGGAGAGGGTTAAGAAAATACAGAAGGAGGGTTAAACTAGAGTCTGACTGAAAGAGGGTATGAAGGGTTTAATTGAAAATAGGCTAAAATTTATTTGGAAATTGTTGACAATATGTAGGAATCAATGTCTCGGAGAATTGAGGCTGTAATTGCCGCAACAAATGGACCTTACCACATGCTAAAATATACTTTGTGTACTCATAATGGCTTTCCCTTATTTGTTTCAACCCCTGTAGATCAAATTTATTAATATTACATTCTATTTCTTGCAATAGGTTTGAACGTATTTCATATTTATTTTTATTGATGATTGTTTGGACTTCAATAGGCGCTCACGGGTTGGATTATCTTGAATTAACTTCAAGGGCAAGAATTAAATAGTTAACATTCAATGCAAAGAATGCTATCTTTTCTTTGGACATGTTTTAACCTCTTACTTTCAAAACCAAGGAAAGTAAGTGGTACCTACCTACGTTTTTAGTAACAAATATTTACGTCTTCTGAAGCATTTAGTGATTTGCTGAATCATCGCTTACTGATTCATTTCCAAACTTGGGCGAAAATACAGAACAATGAATGTAGAGAATAAATGGTTTGAAGACTGATGTCTTTTATCTCTTTTTCGTCGCTGGTATGTATCAGTTGGTTACTTTTTTCAAATCCAAAAAATTTCTCAAGACACTTGCTCATTGGCGAATTTGGAGACGAATCTTGCTATGTTGAGATGTGAAGATAAAACAATGTTGGAAATCGGTCCAGAATTTTTGGGTAATGCTGGAGTATATACACTCCTCTTGAATCAAAAGCTTCAGTTACAGCGTGTGTGGGATTAACCATATTTTGTGCCGGATATTTTTTCAACGATTTGGTCGAACATTTGAATTTGTAAGGTTAGTGTTGGTACACACCTTTTAGTGTTAAAGAAGAATCATTATTTAATTCAGAGATGGTCGTATGCATAGTAAATGTGCGTTTATTTGCGTCTTAGCTTTGCAAAGGCATGCATCCAAACTCCGAAGGGGCTAGAGTCCCGTAAGAACTTTTGTGTAATAGCTAAAATGTTTTTATTCCTTTTTAGTGCGCCGCTATCCTTTGATGAAGGCTGAGGTCTGTGTGTGAAATATGTGGGAGCTATGGTAAAAGCGATGAAATATTTTATGCCAAGTCTTTCACGATGAATGACGATCTGACGTTTCCATTGCAAACGACAGTTTGCCGAATTTCATTTGCTTTTTTACATATATGTTTGTTTTATGTTATAATCATTCCAGAGCCGCATTGATATGCTTTCGAGTTAATGACCACGCTTGTGTTTCGAGATGACTCCTTAAATCCGAAGTATGCACACTCGTGTCACGCTCGTTGAGTCGACGCACCTGTCCATGCTCGGTGTCCGCACCACTCATGCGTGTCGTGCTTTACTTTGTCATTTTGGGCGGCATGCAGCATCCGCTCATCGCTCAACTGTCTTTGCTCTACCAGTTCAATTGGAACCTAGCGCCAATTCTTGTACCGCAGCTCTTCTCTTGCTTTGCATTACAGGATTTCACGGTGTGGGACCATCGCCAGATTTCTGTAACTGTGTGGTGCACACTGCAAGATTTCGATCATAAACATGTTCATCACCGGTAATTTTTATGACAGTTTCTGCCGCCATCAGAGATTGAACTGACAAGGTTTTTCGCTTCGTGGGATTCTTGACTTGTCTTTTTTCGCTCCAAAGAATCTGCGTAGAGTTTTGCGCTTGAAGTCATGTTTTTTGCGGCCTGTTGGTTGTGGCAGCACTTCATTTCCGCTTTGTGAGTTTGAATATTCACATTTTTCGGGTCAATGTAGTGTGTGCGCGTTGCTTGTGGCTACATGGATGACGTATTTTATAGTAGTCACCGCATGCTCATTTCGATGCGTGGTAATCCAGTTACGCTCTCCTGCGTCGCTTGGCTGTTATTTATTCGACTTTCTCAAGTACCATTAGCGCTTTTTTGAAGGCAATGCAGTGGAAATTTTTGATGATATTGTTTATTGAACTGGGCTACACTGTTTACCATAATAATTACAATTTTAGCTGCATTGCCATCACTTCTGGGCTTAGTCGTCACCTTAATATGAATCAATTGGGGGTCACAAGAATCTACACGACCTTCTCGGTGTGTCAAATAATAACCGGCGTCCAAGCCTTTAATCCCAACCATTTATTCCAAATTACCATAATCAGTCGTATGAAATTACGATCACCAAAAAATAATACGGTAAATACAATCATTTTGATAATTTTTCTAACAGACGTCGCCCGGATTGGACTGAAGAGTTGACCAAAACTCTAAACCTACAGTTGTACATTTTATGTTGAAAGTATTTAATCACGCGCGTTGGCCTCTAGTTGCTTTAGTTGAGTTAGGCCTATTGCTAGTCACATTGCATTGCTCCCATCAAACTGTAGTGATCTCTTTTAATGGAAATTCAATTTACAGTAATTCGTTCTTTTGGTACAGCTTCATCGTGACTATAAATGAATACGACAACGTGTTTCCGTTACCATATGTTAATTGTGCATGTTATGTTATTTCTTTTTTATTCTAAGAGCATCTAGAACAAATATTTCAAAGAAACATTATTAGCTGAAGAAAAATGTACAAATCATTTATTCCAGTTAGACATATCCAGTCGCACACATAACAAGCAAGCTCCATTATTTTTGGGACTGTTATTATATACTTCTTTCTTCGCTTCTTTTATATGTATGATGGATTTTTAATTCAAGGCACACATAACTTCAGTATAAAGTATTAACTTTTTAGCGAGTAAGTAATCGCTTCCGTGGCATAGGTTCCTTCTTGAAAACATTCCCCGCGATGACTGACCATTATGGGATCCGTGCACATGAAATGTAGCCAGCACATGCATCCTACCTATGATTCTCACCGGTTAGGTAATCGGCAAGACTGCAGTCGCTTGTTGTATCGAGTGAGCAGCGTTTGTGCTCCTGATTTGTGTTAATTGACCGTCGCCCTTGCATTCCTGTGGAACCCGTTTGCACGCCATGTTGTCTGAGCAGTTACTAATTCCAATTTGGATTGGTCCACTATCTACGAATTTTCATTAAAATCTTTGTTTCAAATATGGCGATACATACTAGAAGAAAGTAACATTTTCCAGTATTTATTCTGTAAAATATCATAAGATCGAAACCTAAGTGGTCTCCGAGCAATGATATTTCATCCAGCATATTTGTTTTTCCCGAACGATCGTGAGAAGAGGTCATTTTGATAGAGTAGAATAAGCCACACTGTATACGTATTGAAAACTAGTGGACAAATTTTCCTTTTGGTACGTATAGTTTTTCATTATTATTGCACTGTCGAAGTGTAAAAATATAATTAAAGTGTTTGCTAGGAATTAAAGGATGTTGCCCTTTCTTGCCTTATCTGTGTAGTTTTTGTACTAAAGAAACTACCATAAGAAGTATATTGGACTTGCTACTCCAATGGTTTGGTTACGATGTACATTCTCGTTTGCTAGTTTAGTTTCAGCGTTCTTGGAAATGGCGGATTAGGATTCTGATGACTATTCACTTGTATCGAGTATGGTCATTATCACGAATTATCACCACGAATATGGTCATTATCACCACGTAAACAATTATTTTCCCATATCCCTCCATTAACCTCGACTTTTTATCTCGAGTGTCTTGTGTCACTCTCGGCATTTGGATATTTATCACGTGCTGCACGGAGCCGCTTGATCTTGACACATTGTATTTTTCATTCCTTGTTGTGTATTCAATAAATGTTTTTTTCATTTCTTGCAGGTGCACCGAACCAAGATGAGCTCCTAACTACGTCCTCCAGAATTAAACGAGCTTCTTCTTATATTTAATCTAACCTGAATTTTAACGCAAATTCTATAATCAACTTGTCTCTGGTCACAAAAAATAATCGCTTCTTTTAGCTCGTAATTACAACTTCATCACTTCTTTTACTGCGATTTGTTGTAGTCTTGACTGGTGCTTGACGTGCATTTATTACGACCCAGTGTTATTTTGCTAGCGACCATTTCGGCAATCGCAAGTTGTCTCGTCATCACTTCTGAACTGTACGTCACAGCGATGGTCTTCGTAACGCCCAGCGTGGTGAAAAAGATTCACTAGCATGCACTGCTGCCGCACTGCCGTCATTCTAGCATTTAGTGAAGCCCTAGCTACCAAGTAACATGTCTCCAGAATTTTGTTTACGTTGGAACAACCACCGGCCGAACCTAGTAAATGTCTTCAAAGAGCTTCTCCACCACGAGGTGCTGGTCGACGTCACGTTGGCGGCCGAGGGGCAGTTCATACACGCACACAGACTCGTGCTCTCCGCATGCTCCCTGTATTTCAAGGTAAGCTCGTCTCAAGGATCAGGTTACAGGCAAAATTTACCGAATGATGTGCGGGGTATGAACTACCTTTATACCAAATTGCTCTCTGTTTCAGTATTCATTCCTGGCTAGTTTAGTCCTTACTTAATATTTTTCAGACCATGATGTATTCAGACATTTTTCAAAATTCAATAGATCTTGATGATTATTACAGATCATCGAATACGCATTGTTGAGAAGTCACTGAAATATGTGAATTCGTCTTCGTGAATGGATCAAATCGCTGCCAATGTCTTTAGTTCGTGTGTGGAACTGCAAATCGGTCAAGATTTTTTCATCTAGTAACCATTGATCCTCGCAGAGAAATAGTCCAGGTTGTTTTGATCTAAATTTCTGACATCGAAGAGCATGATCACGTGAAGCGCCTGAGTGCCCTAACTGCATAGGCTTGCTGGACCAGTTCTTTAACTGCGTTCTTGCTATTAGGAGTGGGACCCGACAACGGCTGTTAGGAGATCGTTACCTCAAGTGACTACTTCTACAATGTCTGTTATTATTCAGCTCTTCTCCAGTCATGCTTTATAATTTATAAACACGTACAATTGTTGGCATATGCATTTTATTCGGTTCTTATCATCATTCAATGAACCGGCAATAGAAATGTTCTACGAGTCTCGGGTTTCTTACATTGCATCCATTTTCGTTTCAAATATCTACCGACTACTATTTGCAAATATTACTATAATCACTTTGGCACACGTTGTTTGAAAATCTGGGTGCACATTTTCAGATATATATATATACGTGCCTTCATGTCAACACGATGCTTCAAAAGCAAAAATGCTTAAGACATTTATTACTGATTTTTGCCTCGAAATGTGCCATTCATGGGATCGTTCCGTTTATTATTTTAAAGGTTGATTAGAGGATGGAAAGTTAGCTTGGTGAAACGATTTTGGATTTGGTTATCGAGGCTTTTACGTTCGATACTGTTAAAAACACAGAGCCTCCTTCATATTCTTATGTTTTTCTACTCGTATTCATTTAGTTTTTCATTGTTTCATCTATAATATAATTATGATGTGGCACAGTCTTCTTATTGTTCTTCATCATATTTATATATCTCCTAATTGTATTGTTTTTATACAGGAGCTGTTTGCGGTCAACCCATGCCAGCACCCGATAGTAATCCTGAAGGACTTCCACATCGCGGACCTCAAAACCGTCGTGGAGTTCATATACCAGGGCGAAGTGAACGTCGCACAGGAGCGCCTTCCTAACGTGCTGAAGGTGAGGCATCACGCGCGCTTGCAAGCATGGTCTTGTAAGTACCGTATATATTAACAGCGAGCTCGGTCGCGATCATTGGCTGTTCAAGCTGTAAAACGTTCGTTACCCTTCATATTCCCATAATCATATTGTGTGTTTTTCCATTTTTGCTTTGATTGGCTAAACGTACAGTCAATTTCTTAACCTGGTCGTAGAGCTAGTTGAAAACTGCGTTATTTTCATATTAAAAACAGATTGTACAATATACATGACATTGTATGTTTTCTGTTGATCATTTCGCTTGCTGTTGATCCACGGAATAAACTTGTAACGTGAATATTGTTTGCAGACGGCAGAATCTTTGCGAATCAAAGGTCTGGCCGAGAACCCGCGCTCATATGAAGACTATCAACCACAACAGCCCCTGCAGCTGCAGCAACCCCTACAGCAGACGAGCAACAGTGCTGCAAAGCCGAGGCTTGGTTCCCAGGTGAGTGACTACCCAGACAGAAATTTTACTTTGATGTGCTTGCGAATTTTGACCTACTTCATGATTTTCACTATTGATGTTAAGCGGAGTATTAATGCTGCTTGCTCTGCAGAAATTTCCGTACAAGTTATTTGGTAATAATCAACTGAACGTTTACATTGTGTTACAGTGGCGATAGCTCAGGTAGACGAATAACTACAACGCTTAATTCACCATTCATTCAGGTCTCTGCCGTGTTTTCCACACTGCATTTAGCCACTAGATATTGATGACAAAAATATATATAGATATATTTCCAGCTCATGATTCGATCATGTTCTATCGGTGTCCTATAAATGAGGCTTCTACGTGCCGTATGTGTCGGTTACAGTAATCCTGACTTGTTTCGTGCATGAAAGTGTATTGCAGTGACACCTTGTTGCTACATGAACTAGAATACCAGTAACAAGTGATGGTGATGGTAACGTAGCAGGTTGTACAGCAGCAGTGAATGTAACGAAGCAGTTTTCACAGCAGCAGTGAATGTAACGCTGCAGTTTTTACAGCAGCAGTGAATGTAACGCTGCAGTTTTTACAGCAGCAGTGAATGTAACGTAGCAGTTTTTACAGCAGCAGGGAATGTAACGAAGCAGTTTTCACAGCAGCAGTGAATGTAACGAAGCAGTTTTTACAGCAGCAGTGAATGTAACGTAGCAGTTTTTACAGCAGCAGGGAATGTAACGAAGCAGTTTTCACAGCAGCAGTGAATGTAATGCTGCAGTTTTTACAGCAGCAGTGAATGTAACGTAGCAGTTTGTGCAGCAGCAGGGAATGTAACGAAGCAGTTTTTACAGCAGCAGGGAATGTAACGTAGCAGTTTTTACAGCAGCAGTGAATGTAACGAAGCAGTTTGTGCAGCAGTAGTGAATGTAACGTAGCAGTTTGTGCAGCAGCAGTGAATGTAACGTAGCAGTTTGTGCAGCAGTAGTGAATGTAACGTAGCAGTTTGTGCAGCAGCAGTGAATGTAACGTAGCAGTTTGTGCGTCAGCAGTGAATGTAACGTAGCAGTTTTTACAGCAGCAGTGAATGTAACGTAGCAATTTTTACAGCAGCAGTGAATGTAACGTAGGAGTTTTTACAGCAGCAGTAAATGTAACGTACCGGTAGCAGTTTTTACAGCAGCAGTGAATGTAACGTAGCAGTTTTTACAGCAGCGGGGAATGTAACGTTGCAGTTTTTACAGCAGCAGTGAATGTAACGTAGCAATTTTTACAGCAGCAGTAAATATAACGTNGCTTGATAGTTCCTCACTCTATCCATCGACTGAACTTTCTTATCGTTTGATAGTTCCTCACTCTATCCATCGACTGAACTTTCTTATCGCTTGATAGTTCCTCACTCTATCCCTGTCTCTTATACACATCTAGATGTGTATAAGAGACAGACGCCATACTAGGTGAGTGTTACTAGGCCAGACCCCGCCATACTAGGTGAGTGTTGCTAGGCCAGACCACGCCATACTAGGTGAGTGTTGCTAGGGTGAACAGACCCCGCCAACTAGGTGAGTGTTGCTAGGGTGAACAGACCCCGCCAACTAGGTGAGTGTTGCTAGGCCAGACCCCGCCATATTAGATGCATTCTGCTTCTATGCGAGCTGTATAGATTTAATAATTCCTCTTTTATTTCAAGTTCTGAATCGAAATTTTCTTTTATACTTTTTGAATATCTTTATTAGCAAAGTATAACCTGATTCAAATATTATATCCTGTATTAAAATGATATTTAATGTATTCAATCGCAACGACCTGTAGGTATTATTCAACTTAAATCAAATGTATTCAACTTAAATCAAATGCTATGTACTTAAAATGATATGTCCTGCATTCATATGTTATGTTATGTCTTCCAAATGTTATGTAATGTATTCAATCGCCACGACCTGTACGTAATCAAATTCTATGTACTGCATTCAAATGTACTGACCGCTGCAGGGCTGGCAGGAGAAGGGGAAGGCGTGCGTGTGAAGGAGGAGCCTGTGAGCGGCAACGGCCACGGCCGCCGCTCGACGCCTCTCACCTCCGACGCGTCACTGGTTAGTAGACCGCGCTGCCTGCCCACCCTCGGGGTAGGCTTTTCTGTCTTGTAATCATCGAATTTTTTAAAACATGATTCTGGTTAGCTCATGACAGCTTATTATTTATATATTTTCTACGCCATCATTTAGGCTTCGGTGTGAGTTTCTCACTTGAAATATTGCTTATTTAACTTGCCTAGAGTGGCGCGGCTGGGGAAGGTGAGGGTGCAAATAACCGAGACTCGCCTCCCGACAAGAATGAGGGAGTGGGGGGCACTGGAGGGAACTCTTCTCCACGCTCTGCTTCTCCCTCCGTCACACCGAGCCTCTCGAACGTCTCTCTGGCCCCTGGTGACTCTGTTCCTGCACTCACACCCCCTGACACTTCAGCAGCCCTCAGCCAGCAACAAGGTAAGCCAATCACTTCTATTGATCATGTTCAATTACCACCATTATTAATGTTCTCTATTATTGTTCAAAAGTAGCGGCATCTATTTGCTTTATCGCAGCATAGTTACTTGTTTGTGATTTAGATGTGGTCGTTTTTTTATATATAATGTAAATTTTTTATTTTCTATTTAGTTAGATAGAGCTTACTGGCTATCTTACGTACCGGGATTCAGTGGGCCACTGTGCCAATCTATCCTTTGACCTACCATTATAAAAACAAGCTTATTCAGTATGGACGTTTTCTTTATTTACGCGATGTTTGCTTTTTCTAACTTTTAAGGTCTGTTCTCTGAACGCATTACTGGTACACGGAATGAGTTCTTCAAATTTCGTTCCTCCAAGTTTTAGGTTGTCAGTAACAAATTCATGCCGCTTCTTCTCATTGAAATTGTTATTATTATTTTCCGATTACACACGACATCCAACTTCTTGAGAAACACTTGCTCGTTTTGCAGTGAATGAATTTAAAACACGTCAATGTTCGAGAAATGTTATGATTTTGCTGCACGTTGTATTCAGGAACTGGCGGAAATAGAAGAACTCGACCTTAAGATCGGTAAAGAAGTGTAGGTTTCCTGTTTTCATCTTATCTATCCGCTCACTTGGACATAACAGGTTTTTGGTTTGAGCCTCTGGGACTAATATTCTGACGCCATAATAACGTTGCAGCAAACAACGTTCATGATATGGCTAGGAATGCGTTTCCTATAATTCAATGATGGATTGAGCTTTGCAATCTCATCAAATATCAAATTATGCCAAATTAATTTTAATTAATTGCAGAGTAATCTCCATATCAAATTTAAATTATGGCGTCAAAATAATTAAATTTCAAATTTACCTCTCCCCTGCCCCAAAAATCTTTGGTTCATTTAACCTCTCGCACAAAAACACGGCCTGCATGCTCTGCATGATGCATTTTGCACTTGTTAAATCCCTACCATCACTCATCATTTTGTACAGTTCAGTGTCATCACTCTACATTATTTCCTAGGTGACATGTTTACGTGATTTATATTGACCTGTTAAGTGTAACTCACGGCGATTATTCGTCAGTGTCGCATTCTGCTGTCATAAACCGTTCATTCTTTAGTTTTTGAGGCTTTAATGATCTAAGGATAATCATTCGATTTATTGTGAATGAGATTTCTTTTTGTTGATTGGCACAAATAAATAATATGTTTTTACTTGGCGACATGTTTGAGAGTTGTGAATTTTTGCGCTTGCGTCCGCGTCATTTCCTCCGAAGATCAACTTGAGTTGTGGCACATAAATCTCTTTATCTATTGACTGAACCTTCTTTTCGCTTGATAGTTCCTCACTCTATCTATTGACTGAACCTTCTTTTCGCTTGATAGTTCCTCACTCTATCCAATGACTGAACTTTCTTATCGCTTGATAGTTCCTCACTCTATCCATCGACTGAACTTTCTTATCGCTTGATAGTTCCTCACTCTATCCATCGACTGAACTTTCTTATCGCTTGATAGTTCCTCACTCTATCCATCGACTGAACTTTCTTATCGTTTGATAGTTCCTCACTCTATCCATCGACTGAACTTTCTTATCGCTTGATAGTTCCTCATTCAATCGGCATCAGTTGCGCATCAGTCTTTCTATCTTCGACTGAAATTTTTTATTTCTTATCGCTTGATAGTTCCACACTCAGTTAGCTGATATCGGCTCGTTGAGTTTATAGTTACATTTTCAAGTGTAAATTTCCAGTTTTATTTGTCGCGATATACACTACTATGAAATAAATATTGTTTCGGGATTTTATTTTATTGTATTACATTTAGGTAAGTCATCTTACTGCTCCGATATCATTAATAATATATTATACGGGTTGAAACATGGTTTCAAAGCAGCTCTGGAAATCAATACAGCCAATTTACCATTGCTCCAACTGCATTCTTCTCTGGAATAGTTCTGCATTTTGTGCTGGCATAAATTAACTGAGTTAACAGTGAATGATTAGCTTAGCATTGCTTAATATTTAATTGCTTCTAACGCGGTTACTTTCTACGCATTGATAATAAGTGATGACGGACTGCTAGGGCATGATAAGCTAAGTTGAACCTTCTTGTCTCTTATTGATGGTCGTAGTTTACAAAGCTTGAGAATTTGTCTTGGGCGAATGCCGGCTATTATCCCTGCTTTGCTTCTGCACAAATATTTCACCGATCGGTTGTGCCTCTTGTGCTATTTAATGAACAGCAAAATTCCAATTATAATGCATATATGCTGAATTTTGTATTTCATTATTTCTGTTCTAGTCAATTCGATTTTTTTATTCAAATCGCAGTTCAAGGAGGAATGCACCTCGGGTCTTGTAATTTTGTTAAGCGAAAGAATGTTTAGGAATATTTTTAAGGAGCATAGAAACGCTTTGGACATTCTCGGGTAGTGGCACCAGACTGTATCAATGATGCCTTACTTTCCTGTATGGACAATGCATTGTGTACCAAATCTTTGTATGAATACCACGGAGATAGCACACGATATAACATACTCAATAACAGCTGGTGTACTCTTTATCTTCTATTATCTTCCCCTAATTGGCTGGGTCTTAACATCCATCTATCGCTTGAATTAAGTTTTAGGTCACAGAAACGGAATATAATACAATATACCACCACAAAATGCGTTGACGTTTCGAACAAATATCCCCGTTTGGAATTAATGGTGTTAGATTTCCCCTTTTAATCGGTTTCAATTGGTGAAATTGTTTCTGAACATGTAACACTGGCGATCGACGATCAGTGATCGATCATGTCACATTCAGTTATTTCTGCGGAGAAATGTTTAGTCGGAGGTAATGTGTATAATTTTCTAGCACAAGTGCTGAAAATGTGCTTTGATCTGTTACTTTTATCCTATTGAAAAGCCCATTAATTAGAGCAATCAAAATAGATTTTTTTAAAATGGAGTGTGTTCGAAAAGTTACGTCCTCGCAACATATCGAGTACCTATTGAAACGAATGTACATTGAGTGAGTTACTACATCTCAATCACCATCGAAGTTTGAAATTGAAGACTGGACCTGGAAATGTGCCTCATTATCCTGTTGCAATGGTACAATGGAAGATAATGCTTGGAAGACGAGGCGTCGAGAACGGTTGAGAAGACTGGCGTTCTGCAATCTTCATCTGTGTATGTGCCTGCCCACCGCACCACAAATTATGTCTACACGTTTCTTGGGAGTCGTTTGAACATTTGGTTACTTAATGATAAGATTCGGTGACGTGTGAAATTCTTTATCCTGCCCTGTCTGTTCTCTTTGGTTCTTCCGAAACAAGTGTTAATAAAAAGTTGTACAAACTCGAAGCAATGGATTGGATAGAGGCTTGGGATGAGCACCACGTTTGTATGATAATGATCCGCTTGACATTGCCTGCTGCATAACAATAACAACACGGTGTTGCTGCTGCGGCTCCTCTCCCTTTATTGTGCCTGCCATCAACACACACACGCAATAATGGATAATTTCATGCGAGCACCTCATTCTCATCATCTCCTTCCTCCTTCTCTATTATGTGCCTGCTGCTGCTCCTGTCTTACTTAATTGCTTTTCATGGAGTATATCATACGGCTCTTGTTAATAATCATTTTAATAAACAAAGTTCAAAACTACTCACACTTAAATTCGAGTGCCATAAGTCCTGCTCCTGTGTCCTGACTCATAGAAACCATGCTGTAATCAGCTAGAGGCAAAGTATTTCGTGACGGAAAGTCCAAATGAAATGATGCATTACTCGAGACCTCGTACGGGTTTTGATTTAGGTGAGACACCACTGATAGTCGGTGGCGCTGTCTGGAAGCGGGTGCTAAGGGCTGGTGCTATCTGTCACAGGAGGCGCTGAATGGACTCATCCACTGACGCCGTGGTGGGCGAGTGTTTTGCCTGTTCTTGCTAGACATCACCAGGAGCAGCAGCAGCAACAACAACAGCAACACCACCACTCCTCACTGCATAACGCTCGTGCTGGTTTTTTACATCCACCACCGGCAGCCACTACCCCACCTAAACTCATACACTCTAGCCTTGCCACGTGGCCGGGCAGTAGCCGCGAGAACAGCTCGTCGGCAGGCTCGGGTACAAATTGGATCGGCTCGGGCGTTGTCGGAGGTAGAGCGGGTAACAGGATGAGCGGCGGTGGTGGCGGTAACAACCCGACACCCCAGTGGCTGACGGGTCTAGATCAGGTATCTTTGGTGACAGCGCTAGGCAAAGAAGTCTCCCCACAAATGGTTCAGGCTTTGCAGGCTGTCGCCACCAAAAGAGAGAGCTTCTCCTCTGCTGCCAAGCTTCACTGTGTCTCTGTCACAACTCTCTGGCGGTACTATAAGAAACTCAACATGCAAGATACCCAAAGATCTGTAGCCATTCCTTCACCTTCCAACGCCACCACCACACCATCTTTTTTACCCTGACCTTTGTTATGTAACCGTTATGTTAACTAGACTGCCTTATCAATAGCGTACTCATGAACACGCCAATCTTCTTGCTTCACATATACTTCATGTTTACATATACTTATTGTTCGTGCAATTTCGTCGAGAATTGCAAAGCAGCTCGTCCGTTTACTCCAAGTAGGTAAAACCCGATCGATTCCGTTATATTTGCATTGTTGCTCAAAATTTAAATTAAACCTTGTCCATTTCTTCCATGAATTGTATGTACATTATTCCGTGTTCTACGAGAACACTAGTTTTATATACGTGACTTTAATAGATGAGCTTTGCCAAGTCACGGAAAATTGTTTGATGTTATTTGAGGGAAGGTAGCACTTTTCACGACTCATGAAATATTCAGTTAAAATGCACCAAATTTGTGATAATTTTCTCTTGTGATGTACTCGTAATCGGTGGATAAGGAAGTTTAAGCAGTACCTTGCGTAAGCTATACATTGGGCTGTGATTGGTGGTAGATCGAACAGTCTTTTGCTCCGTGAGAGGAT